CCCCAAAACCCCAAAACCCCGTGAAATGAAATTCTGAATAAAGCTAAAATAAATATTTTTTTAATAATTGATAAAATCTCTTGCTGAAATTATTATCTAAAATGACAAGTTTAGCAACTTCCTCTACTAATTTAAACTCTCATAAACCTCCCACGCCTGCTCTAAAACGAAGAAACACTCCTGAAAAAACTAGCAACCCCTAGTCCGACTCACCAAACTAGACAATGCTTGAAATATCATAATCATTTGAACAAAATTAATAAGATTAAAATGAGATGCAAATTGAGAACTTAGTTTAATCTTGATACAATATTTAATTAGCAATCGATAACATCAAACAGCAGAACTAATTAACGATTTCGAGTGATAATCAGAGAGATTTAAAAATGAGTGTTATAGAGCAAAGAAATCTTGATCTTAAAAAGTCATCCTCAACTCCAGTAGACGAGATACACACTAGAAATGATACAATTACTGGCAACACTGCTGCTGGATTTAATACTCTAAATACTGATGCTCAAGCAAATCATCAATAATTTAATTACTCTGTCCAGTCCCCTTAAAAGCCCAATCATCGCAAGAAGAATTCAATAGGAGGCAGTTTCATGGTCAAGATGCCCCCAAGACCACCAATGAGCAATAGTAAGGATGTCAAGCTACCATTTGAAATTTAAATATCCTAATAATTGACCTAAAGCTCAAATAAAGAGCGATCGTTGAGTGATAAAAAATCTGTCTAAGACGATGAGCAAGTCTCAAATTTTATCACATATGATCAGTAGCACGTGAGAAACAAGAAAATGCAGAGGTTTAAGAATATTATGCACATTAGAAATACCATATCTCATTCCGAAAATGCTAGAAACCAGCAACACCAATAACAGCCTAGTTTAATCGATTAATCTCTAATCAATAATGATCTGATAAGTACTCCAAAGTACATAAACTTATCGCAGAAAAGCGTTTTACCTAACTTAACTGTTGTAGATAAATCATAGCAAAATCAAAAATAATCATAGCCTACTTAATTGAATTAAAGTGCCCACAACTTTTAGCCCATTCAAGTAAACATCCGCAAGCAGCTCAAATTGAATATGTAGCATAGAGCTCAACATTCCTTTAACTAATCCTCAAAGGACTCATTTCACATTAAGGATTCACATATCTTGAATCTAGATATGACGAATAGGGCCAATGATTCTTAGCATATAAATTAGCTTCATCAATAATAACTCAGCTAAAACATTAATTCAAGTGTAAATTTACCTCTAAATAATCATCAACGTACAAATAACTAGCATTCAGGCACTGTTACTACATTATAAACAAACAAATTCACTAAAATTTACACCAAAAAGTTGGGAGCAAATAAGCAAAAGAAAAAGCAAGTCACTAATTTGAAGAATAACATCACTAATATCACCTAGATAAGAGGACCATCACCTGATCTACGAACAAGACCAAGTACCCTATTCAAGCCTATAGTATCTAAACCTTAGCACATGAAGCAAGCTTCTCAAGAATTTAAGCCATAGAAGGAATTCATGTCCAAAGGAGAATACTTTTTGCTGCAAGGGATAAATCATGATAACTCAATGTCAGATTAAAAGTCTTCAGGCCCTCGAGTAAAATTTCTGGAACAACGAGGCAGTGAAAAATCCTTTATGAGAAGTGAAATAATGGGAACACCATAAGTTGAAGAGATTTAAGAGATTCAAATATCTCCAGTGAGCAAGCGAGATTTTTATAATGGACTCTAAGTTAATGCTTTTAGTATAAAACATCAAAAGGATTCCGGATTGGGTTTAAGCTCAATCTTAAATCATGATTATTCAAATAAAAACTCTTATTGCAATTCATCAAATAAAAAGGACAGTATTAATGTCAGACTGAAACCCCTTAGTAATAGTAAAGTCGGAGATGCATATAGCAACTACTTTTTAAAGCATCAGGGATCTTCTCCAAAGCTTTAAATTTAATTAAGTGATGATAAAAAAAGTTTAATTGGGGCTGGTCTAAGATCTTCTTCAAATGGACAGGATTTAGTTAATAAAAAGATCAGATTATATCAGAACAGTTTCACAAGTAATAATCGAAAACTTTCACAAGATAATACAGGACACAAATAAGTACCGAATTAGTCACCTTATAGGACATATGAAAGACCTGCCAAAATACTATCAAGCACTACTTTATTAGATAATACCAATTATGGAGAGAACATAGCAAAAGGAGTAATCAAGTTTAAAATAAAAAAGAATTCAGATAAATTACTCCAAAAAGAAGCTAATGACACTAATTAGAGACTTGAAAAAGTCCTAAATAAGATACTTGCCAATAAAATGAAGAATGCTAAAAAGACCATCTTAATTTGAATTAGCAGAGTATAAGACTAGATTTTTTCCCCTATCATGATATATTTTAAAATTTCCTCATAATCTATAAGTAATGGTGGAATTCTCATTAATCATTTTAAACATAAGATTTTTTGGATCGAAACAATCAATCAGATATTTATTAGTTTATTATCCATTTAATTTATTATTCTTCAATCTTCTGTATATCTTTCATATGGGGTTTTGGGGTTTTGGGG